GTGAGGGTCAGGTACATACCTGTGAGGGTTTAGGGTCAGGTACATACCTGTGAGGTGAGGGTCAGGTACATACCTGTGAGGGTTTAGGGTCAGGTACATACCTGTGAGGTGAGGGTCAGGTATATACCTGTGAGGGTTTAGGGTCAGGTACATACCTGTGAGGGTTTAGGGTCAGGTATATACCTGTGAGGGTTTAGGGTCAGGTATATACCTGTGAGGGTTTAGGGTCAGGTACATACCCTGGTGCTCTTCCTGCACAGACTGGTTGACAGAGTTGATTCCTTCCTGCAGCTGATTCCAGGTCAGCAAATCTCTCCTGATCTGTAGCTTCACACCTGCCAGGTGCTCCAGGTACCTGTTGAACAGAGACATCATCATCATCATCACCTGCAGCAGGTAATTGTCAGAGGCACATGGGGCAGGCAGGTGTTACAGCTGCACCTGTCCATCAGGGTGTGGTCCACAGCAGACAGTCCCATCAATGGACTGACCAATGAGGAGCTGAACTTCTGCAGGTTCCCTTCATCCACGGCCTGATTGACCAGAGCGACAGCTGACAGCATCTCCACAGCAACAAACAGCTCCTCCTGCTGCAGCTGGGCCTGGAACAGAACCAAACACACCTGTGTGACATGCTCCACCAACAGGTGTCAAACCTGAGGCCAGCTCAGACACGTCTGGTTCATCTTCAGTCTGAAAGACACAACATGCTGCCATGTGAAGAACACGTTCTAATTCATTACATTTGAATTTAAACTGGTTGATTTGGTCAATGAGTCATTTATACTTCCTGTGTTTGTTCTCCTCCATGAGGAGGAACAGGACACACCCATCCTGCTCTCACCTCAGATGAGCTCAGGTGTTTGATGGTCTCCAGGTTAGGCTGTGGTACATTCAGGTGTGTGTTTACCTGTGCAGTCCGTCTCTGCAGCAGCTGCAGCTCATGGTGGTACAGTTCAGCAGCAGATGGAAACACTTGTGGCAGCTGGAGGTCAGAGTTCATCAGGCAGTTGACGGTCTGTCTAGGGTCGTCTCCACGTAGTGATGCGTTCACTCTCTGCACCGCCCCGTGCACTATCACACACACACACACACACAGGTTGGTTTTTACATCCCTGTGGGGACCGTGGATTGATTAGTTTTATGGTCATTTTATATCATAACCCTGAACGTTTAGCCTAAAACTAACCTAAACTCAATTCACACTATGATCCTAAACCTAACCCCCACCATCAACAGTATTTCCACCAATGGGGACCAGGCCTGTGAAAGTCTTCCTCTCACACACACACACACACACGCACGCACACAGGAAGTCTTGGTGCAGCCAGACAGGAAGTGACTTACAGTTTCTGGCTCTCTGAGCCTCCTGGTTGGCAGCAGAGACGCTCTCCTGGAGCTCCACAGGTTCCAGAGGATCAACAGAACCCTGATCCTGAATCACAGGTCAGACTGATGATGAAAGCTGACATCTTGTTATCTGACTGAGTCAAACAGAACATGATAAAACACAACAATTCAAACCACAGCATGTGTGGCCAGTACCAGAGTGATCCAGTAGAACCGTTCTACTGGATCACTCTGGTACTGTCTCTGTGTCTCACACAACACAAGAAGTGACACAAATCTGCGAGAGAAACAAGAGCAAGACAAGATTCAACACTGGTGTCAGGGTGTTTGAGTACCAGAGCCTTCTGCTGCCGGTCCACCAACAGCTGGTCCAGGTACAAGGGCCCGTTTTCAGTATGGACGCCCCTAAGGGCCAAACATGACAGCTGCAGAGCATAAAGCAGAGAGAGGTCGTCTGCAGCATCCAGGGCGTCATCCACCTGCTCCACCGCTGATCGCACTGAAACAATCAACACATCAACAATCAATGCCTGCCCACACGCCCATATAAGGACGTCTGCCCACACGCCCATATAAGGACGTCTGCCCACACGCCCATATAAGGACGTCTGACCACACGCCCACATAAGGACGTCTGACCACACGCCCACATAAGGACGTCTGCCCACACGCCCATATAAGGACGTCTGCCCACACGCCCATATAAGGACGTCTGCCCACACG